AAATCATAATTTAATTACCTCTTTAATTAACTTTGAAGTACTCAAGGAGCAATAACCAGATAGCATCAAGTTGACATTTCATACAAAGCCTTGTAATATATCGGTCGAGGCTTCACCGCCAGCGATTATTTATAAATCCCCATAATTACATGCGTAAACTCACTCCTTTAAAGCTCAAACTCAAGCAAAAATATCTAAGCAATGCTTCCATCTTTAATAAAAATTACAGAATTATATATTTTTTTATGGAATAGGAGGCAAACGAGGAGACGGAGCATATGATGGTAAGCGATCAGCGCCATGGACACCTGATATTACATATTTAACTATTATGATCCTTACATACTTCTTCAGTTTCAATCAGATTCATATCCTAATGTAAACAAATTGTTGTACCTTTTCTTTTCCCAAAGGGGTACGCATAGGTTATTGAACTTTTTATATGAGATCTTTACCGTCCTATGTCACCCGCAACATCGAAACAGTTTTTTTAAAGGAGTATGTGTTGTTTTAATGACTTTGCAGTTTATAATACTGCAGGTAACATCTTAATGTTTCAGAAAGCTTCGCGGAAACGCACAGTTATGGACTGCTATTCTGCTAACCATGTAAATGATGACGATGGAACTGCAGTCGTATATGACAGTGAAAAGATGCAGCAGGGATCAGTGCAAACAATTCTTCAGAGCCGTTTCCGTGGGGTGCAGTGAATCAATGACCCCTATATCTCTTAGCTAAGAGTTATTTAGCGTGAGAGAGCACCTAATCCTTACTTGTACCGTTAGATTGTCACTTTCAGCAGAACTAAGTCATTGGATGATTTGTCTCCATTAAAAAGAGCCCTTTTTGTATTTGAACTTTGCTCCCGCTTACAAAATTACCAAAGCGCTACAAGGCAGCAAGGATGCGCCTCTTTCAACTCTATGTGTTAAGCGAAAGTTGTACGCCTTGGGCGACTCCTGTTGCAAAGCGCACGCGCAATAAAATGTACGTTCATTGTAAACAATAAAATAAAAGGTTTCTGAATTGCCTAAAATTGCATAATTGGCTAAGTGGCCGAAAGTGCAACTGTCGAGGTCTTAATCGGTCGATTTTTGTATTATTTTTAAAGCTTTTTCGGAGAAAAATTTTACTAAGAACGCAATACTCCAAAATTTCAATCAGTGATCGTTGATCGCCCCTTTTAAGAATAATGGACATAAGCACCGATATGATTCTTATTATATCGTGAGACATAATAAAAAAAGTAGGCTGCGCGACATCGCTGTGACCGCGCACCCTGCTCATGAGGAAGAACCCCTCTGTGGTTCGAAACTAGAAGAGCTATTTTCACGTAAGTAACCCGCGATATTTAGTTAATCTTTGAGATTTGTTTAGTAACTTAAACTTTTTTATCAAAACTCCTCCTATAATACCAATGTCCATGGGCATCCAGGACCACTGAACGCTTAGTATCATCAGGTGATCCGTCTGTTCAGTTGTCCCCTATTCCATAAAACCACGTGTAAAACGGGATGAATGGGGATCGAGAGGTGAATGGGAACAGAAGAGGGTTGAATCGATACTATGCAGAATTTCCCAATTCACCCCTCTTCTGTCTCTATTCACCTCTCGATCCCTATCCACCCCATTTTACGGTACCTAGTAATCCGTGACATTCTAACTACATGTAATTCTTTCCGAATTACAAGAAACTAAAGTATCATTTATGTATGTGTTACATATAAGATATTCCTATATCGACAATCATTTAACCTGAATGCTAGAATCTAGATTTGGATCGTGCATGTGTAAGCACAAAATTTATCGTTTCCTGTAACTTTCGAAATATTATTAAATTATCGGTATACTAAGTTATGTTACATATGTATGTACTTTCTTACATTATTTAGACACCACTGACAAACGGTGAAGGAAAAACATCGTGAGGAAACCTGGGCTTATAATTTCTAATTATAAGTTTGTAATCGCCAACCCGCATTGAGCAAGCGTGTTGATTAATGCTTAGACCTTCTCCGTGTGAGAAGAGGTTTTGCTCTGCAGTGGCTGTTGATGATGATGATGTATGATTTATTTCCAACAACCCGCCCCGGCTTCAATATTCATGTATTATATATATAAACCTTCCTTAAGAATAACTCTATTTATCAAAAAAAACCGCATCAAAATCAGTTGCGTAGTTTTAAAGATCTAAGCATACATAGGGACTGACAGACGGCAGATAGTTTGTTTATACTTTGTTTTATACTATGTAGTGATATGTAGGTACTTGTTTTAACTTACATATTAATACTTAAGCTGGTTTCCGAGACCTACTAATGAATATGATGCAAAAATTGATAATCTGGGTGTAGTGTGAATGTATAATTCAATGTGGTGTATGATTTCAGTATTGTAGTGTAGTGTAGGCGTTTTTTGAGTTCCTATTTCAACTCTTACTGTGGGCGTCGTAAGAAGGATATGGAATTACGCGACTGCATATTTAATATATACCAGGCAGCAGTGCTCTTTGTAAAATAGAATACTTAAAAATAAATTACGGTCGTCAACCCGACTACCAAGCTCGGAGCCTATAACTAAACTAAACTACAAACCCTCTTAATTCTTATGTAGCATCAAAAAAGTGATTGTAAGTTCAAGTTCTGCCGCCGACAATATCGAACGAAGGAAAACCTTAATGTTTATGTAAAAAATATAAAGTAGACATGTATAAAACTGGCTTAGACAGACTATATCCCTTTTCTCTCCTAACACGGTTAGAAATCAAATCCTGTGGCAGTTTAACGACCCCTTTATATATAAAAAAGTTGTAACGTCAGTTTGGATGTAAAATATCACATACATAATAATACGCCTCGGCTATACGTTTCTATAGGGACAAAATCTGACCTCTAGTAAAAAAAAGGATATGTTTCATCACAATTACTCTCCCCTTCCCCAATCTCCCCAATTCCTGAATACCCAACGATCCTCAAACTCCTAATCCCCAAAAGGCCGGTAACGCATGTAACGCCTCGGGTGTTCCAGGTGTCCATGGGCGTCGCCGATTGCTTACCATTAGGCCATCAGTTTGCTCGTTTACGTTTTGAAAAAGTAACAGACATCTATTCATATTTTATCTATTAAACTTTCATTTCGTAAAAAGCAATAGAATTTCATGCTTTATAAATTTTATTGTCCATTTTGATCTAGAAATAGCTAAGTGAGTATAATAGTTCTATTTTATTCAAATGAATGACTATTAACTGGCGTTTTTGTATGAATGTTATGAACGGCCTCGTTGACCGAGTGGTCGCAAGTTCGACTGACAGCCAAGGGGTCTCGGGTTCGACATGGGACTTATAACATAAATAGTGTAAAGTGGATGTTACATTGTACAGTGGCATTAAGTGCCGTGAAGTATCTCTGCCTGCCCCTTTGGGGATAAAAGTCGTGATGTTATGTTATGTCCTAGTAGGTAATCCGTGGCACTTATTCTATGTACATGTAATTTCTTTACGGATTACAGGAAACTGAAGTAACATTTAAGATAACATATAAGATATTTCTAAATTGACTTTGTTTTATACTATGTAGTGATTTTAATCCATGATCGTCCCACTACAGAGTAAAGGCATCCCTTCCACTTCTCTCTATGCAAAGCTTTTTGCGGCCAATCCTTGTCATAGATGTCCAATTAGTCCCGCCATCTCCTTTTGGACCTGCCGCAACGTCTCTTGACGTTCAGTAGCAATGATATATCTCTCTCAGCATCCATACAGTATTATTTTAAAATGCAAAACAGTAGAATGGTAAATAGAAGAAATTAATTAAATGCGAATTACTCTTAAAAGTCTTGATTACTCAATACTTATGCTAACATAACATAATATAACATCACGCCTTTTATCCCCGAAGTGGTAGGCAGAGGTGGACATATATGCCACTGTATAATGTAACACCCACTTTTCACTATTTATGTTATGAGTCCCATGTAATAGGGGGTGAGTCTATTGCCATATACCGGGCACAATTCCAGACTCCGTGCTACTACTGAGATTATTTTTTTATAAACTCAAATACTTTGCCCGACCCGGGAATCGAACCCGAGACCCCTTGCCCGGCAGTCGCACTTGCGTCCACTCGGCATGAGGCAGCCTTATGCTAATTAAGTATATTACTTATTTCAATAGTTTTATTTAGACAACGTAATAATATGTCTTATTGTTATGTCATTTGTCTCCTTTTACGGCGAACGTTCATTTTAGTTTTTATATAAATAAAGTAAGTACCATTGAGTTAATTTATTTAAGTATCCATAAACATAGTATTGCTTCCTTAATTTAAGTATTTTTTATTAAATTCACGTGGATTTATAATCAATATTTTTTATGTTCTTTTTAATTTAAATTAGTCATGGTGGCCCGAAGGTTTAAGCTCGCTTCTCATGCATGAGGGCGCGGGTTAGAAACCTATCAACGGCAAGTACTAATGTAACTTTTTCCGAGTTATATGTACTTTCTAAGATTATTTAGACACCACTGATAAACGGTGAAGGAAAATATCGTAAGGAACTTGGGCTTATAATTTCTAATTATAAGTTTGTAATCGTCAACCCGTATTGAGCAAGCGTGGTGATTAATGCTCAAACCTTCTCTGTGTGAGAAGAGGCTTTTGGCCAGCAGTGGCCACTGTTGATGTGAATTTAAATTATATTTCAAATAGGTGAATTAAAATTAATTGCTCATACTGTAAGGTGGGTAGGTAATGTACCGATTTCATTATCCATCATATTACTTTTTTGCAAAAACCTAACTATAGTAAACATTATGCGTTTGTAATCACTACCTAAACTATTAATTTACATAAATCATTTTAGTTAAAATTAAAATTTAGACTTACTTATTAAGTTCAACAATAAATACAACTTATTAAATAATTAATTTTAAGCTCAAAGGTAACCATAACGTTTCAATTCCTATAATATTATCAAATCAATATAAAATTAAATTTAAACTCACCTATGATAATAAATCCACTGCATGTGCGTAAACTGTTTTTATTAAAACTAAAACTAGGACTCACAAAATACACAAAATGACAGTTCTATTTTTAAAATTCAAATGCACGTCAAATAACTTTTTAATGCACAGAGCAAAAAGTATTCAGCCTCCTTGCAGCATGAAATAGGTACTGGCCGCATAGAGGTTTGTTTTTCGTTTTAAACGCGTCGACCTCGTGTGTGGTGGTGGATATGACAAAATTCTGATTTCAAATTGCTTACGTTATCGATGTACCTCGTGTACATTGCTGTTTTACTATGGAGTTTAGTATGGTTGGTTTGAATAAAAGTAGCAATGGATGTTAAGCGTATGGTAATGTTTTTATTTGGTGGATTGTTTAAGCTTGACTTGGTAGTGAGAGTAAATGTTCAGTCCTTGATGTTACTAGTCCAATGCGTTTTTTGTTTGTGCACTTTACTTAAAATATTAGAAAGAACTAGTAATGTATGTTATGAGAATATTTTTAAGTGAATGTACAAAATTGTTTGAAGCTATTAAGTTTTTTGATTCGTCCGCACAAAGGCTACAATTATTTTTTTAATAACTTTATTTAAGTATTGTTTATTTTTTTTTGTGTCGTAATCTTTAAATGGTTTTACTACATACCGTGTAATTTTACATCATTACTAATATCCTGTAAAAAAAGGATTATATTGCCAAATTTTAATTTATCTGGACCATACTTTTATTACCATTACCGTTTAAAAAGTCGGCATGCAACTGTAAGGAGCTCCTCTAGTATTCCATATGTCCACGGGCGGCGCCGATTGCTTACCATCAGGTGATCCGTCAGCTCGTTTACCGGCTTATCCCATGTAAAAAAAGAACAAATCTGATGCTGCGCCTTCTTTATGGAGTAAGAGGCATAGAGCAGACTTAGGTGATCTAAGCGACTAGCGCCGCCCCTTGACATCCGACTCAACAGAAGTCCAAGATAAAGTCAAAGTCAAAGCATTTGTTTCAATTAACCCTTGACACTGAGTCTGACACTCCTTCCTAAGGGGGGAAAATCATCGAATGACTGCTCCCGCCTGGGTGAGGCGGGAGGGAGTGTTCTGACACTCCCTCCGCTAACAGTCTGCTGTTACTGACTAAAAACCACCCCGTTCCTTCTCCTGCACTTCGAGCCAGATAACCCCGGTAACCCGTTAGGTTCTACACGACTCCGTATCGGCATCAGCCCTATTGGGCCCCATCCGTGGTGGTCTGATGGCTCTTTGAGGCGTGCGCGGAACGCGACGCATCGTACGCTCGGGTCTGGTTCTGGTCGTGCGGCGAGCCACTCAGAGCCAGGTATGCTCGCCGTCTGCAGGCCCGCGCTTGCGGTGGCCGGAGATCGTGGGACTTAAAAGGTTAGCATCTTCGCATCATCACACAACAGCACGTTTTAATTATTAATTTTAATCAATTCAAATTAAATTGCTTTGATTTATTTACTACTGATAGAAATGTGAATATTAAATCTGGGTAAGTTTTATAAATAGATATTTAAATTAATGAATTTGACTTTTAATAATCTACATAAGTAATTTACGATTCGATGCTAAATATTATAGAATTAAATTATCTAACAATATCCGTTGACTAGAATAACTTGCAGACAAAATAACAATTTATTTATTTTTAGAATATTTTGACCAAGATTTTGTTATTAATGATAATAAATAACTTAACATTACACCTTTTACCTTATTTCGGGGAAGCAGTCTTATACTTTTGTACTTTTTATTTTTTTAAGGAAGGAAAATCATCGAATGACTGCTCCCGCCTGGGTGAGGCGGGCTTGAGTGTCAGACTCTTATTTCCTAAAAACCACCCCGTTCCTTCTCCTGCGCTGCGAGCCGGAGCCCCGGTAACCCGTTAGGTTCTTCGCGACAGTCATAAGACTGACAGACATAAGTACTAAGTACTAGATATGTGCTAGGTACTAGGCATGTCATAAATACTCCAATGTTTGGACTTCCACGTCTTAATTCGCTTATCCTTTTTTTTTTGAGGTCGCAAAAATAATCCATTGACTTTTCCCGCCCGGGTGGGGCAAGAGGGAGTGTCAGACTCTTACTGACTAATATCAGCAACAATCTGACACTCCCCACCTCACTAAGGCCGGGAGGAATCATTGATGATTTAATGATCTTCCGTCCTCACAAAGAAAGACTCCTTATCATCAGACACATGATCTTCAACCAAGCAATTAGTTAACACACTACATAATCAAAATAACTTCTCATTCAAACCAACACAGCCTTTAAGATCTTAAATCTAAGACCATAGATAAAGTTATACAAACTTTTTTGAACTTTAAACATTCCCATGCACGACTCACACTTGACCGATAATTGTAACAATGGCGCTATGTCGATCACAATCTAGTTTTTCAAGCATGGGAGTTTAATTTCACTTTTAAAAACAATAGTTGTTGTAAATTGTGCTGAGAACCGCACTTATTGGTGCTTAGGGTTCGTGGCCACTGATGTGGTAGTTGTTGGTTAACAACAGAGTCATCATAATCGTCATCATCGACAGCCTATAAGCGCCCACTGCTGAGCAAAGCCTCTTCTCACACGCAGAAGGTTTGAGCATTAATCACCACGTTTTCTCAATATGGGTTGGCGATTTCAAACTTATAATTAGAAATTATAAGTCCAGGTTTCCTTACGATGTTTTCCTTCACCTTTTGTCAGCGGTGTCTAGATTATCTTTTGGGTCTCCGGTAACCTTACTCATACGACGAAACACATCGCAAGCGTTGCTTCTCGATCCTTTTAGCCGGTTTGATGTTAAGGAGCAAACAAACAAGCATACAAACTTTTGTATTTATAATATTAGTAGAATATTAATTAAGAGTGTACAATTAATATAAGCTGGGTGAGGGTGACTAATGGCTATTGTACAATGTGTTGTGTGTGGGCTTATTAAAAATGAAGAGCTATTGAGTTTTTCTGTTTATTGGCTTATCTTCGTCGGGAAATTCAACTGTTTTGGTCTGTTTCACCACTGACGACGTCACGATGATTCCTTCTCTGTATGAGAAGAGGTCTTAGTCCAGCGATGAGACAGTTTATAGGCTAATAAGCAGTAGATAAATAAAAAATGTAATTTATTACAGATTTACATGTAAATTATGGTAAAAACTTTCAATTTCAAATGAATTACCGTACGATCATTCGCCGTTACAAAAAAGAATCAAAATGCGTACTAAAATATTTCACAATAACTATTCTAAAGACCAGCTATAAAAATATAAATAAACGGTAAACCCATTAATTTAAATCACTCATAAAAATTTGCATATACCTACACTGAGCATTCGGACCAATTTCGCCGCGAATTATTTTGGTATGTTACGTCACAGTGAGTTTGAAACCTTATAATATTCGTTGCGTAACATAATTACGTCGAAACGACAATAAACCGTTTACGAGGGTCGCGTTGTTAATTAAATTTTATTATTTACAATATTAAATCATTTTAGGCTTAATTTTGGCGGCCATGTTGTTATTTTGCCGCGAATTTTTTGATTACATACATTATCTGTTTGGGAAATAAGTATCTAATTAATTACAAGTTGTTATCGTGTTGATGTACTTAATCAATCTGTAAATCTGAATGCTGGAAGCTGATAGATGCAGGTCATACAGGTCGTTTCCAACAGTTCCAACCGGCCGATTTGGAAGTCATTGGGGCTGAGGCACCTATAAGAGGCAATGGTATCTTGTTTTATTTTTCTGTCAGCGCCGATTTCAGAAAAGAAATACTTTTTTGAAGTCCGCATCCCCGTTAAACTCGGAGAAGGATTTAGTATATTAATTAACCGACTTCTAAAAATAGTGAGGTTGAATTCGTTTATTTAAACATAGTTTATATGAAAAAATAATATTTATTAGAGGAAAGTGACCAAATATGGAATAGTATCCCTAATATGGAATACCGGCAATACTAAGAAACTATAATTCACACACGCAAGGAACACTGTTTGTCTCTTTGTTTCTATCCCCATCTGCGGGTACAGGGTACAGACATATCACTCGAGTGAGCCCTTTCGTCAATATTGCAGTGTTTTGTTTTGCCGCTTCTGCATAACTTTCTAACGTATGTGAAAGACACGCATTTTTCGTTTAAAAAGTGCACATCGTATTGTTTTTATAACTTTTAGAGACAGTTTAGATGTTCTTTTGTCGATTTCGGTGGTATTTATATGTATTTATTTCTTAAACATAAAAATATTAATGTCAGTTTAAAGTCGTTGCAAAATCCAATTATGGAATGGTCCATTGTTTTGTTTGATACAGACAGTGAGCCCGATGCTTTGATAGGAAATAGGAGTGTATTTTCTGTGGTATTCTGTTTTCAATTGATTCTCATAGAGAAACATGGGTCAAGTGCCTCATATGTGGACTCTGGGCACATATTGATTGCCCCGGAGCAGAGATTGATGCCTGGATTTGTGACTTTTGCAAACACGTTGTGTTCTTTTCTATGTTGTACCAACCTTTCTAAAGCGTTTTATGTAAGTTCCGGTTTAGTTTTAATCGTATTTATAGTACTTATTCCATATTCGGGGTACCTATTCCAAATTTAGGTACCTTTATTGTCGTTTAGTTTTTTTTTTAATTTTTAACTCAAAAGTAATACAAATATGCAATTCCTGTTACAAAATAAAGCGAAAATATATAATTGTTGTAATTACCTCAAAAAGTTTTATTATTTGCAATGTTTGTGAAAATTATGCGTAAGAAACAAAATGGTATTCCATATTTGGTCACTTTCTTCTAACGATTCAAGTACTTATTGGAATAAAATGTCTTGTTGCTGACTACAGTGCACCTACGATACGATACGACACATATCAAAATCCTAGTGTTCAAATGATTTAGTAAAACGCAATCTGTCTCGATTTTCGATGATAATATTTATTACCTACTTTAGTTTCGAATATGTACCATTTAAGAGTAACGCTTGTTTTTAACTTTAAATTCATGAAACGTAATGCCCACATAATTATTAAATAAATAGCTTTTACTAGCGGCTTCGCCCGCGTTACCGTGGTACAAAAAGTTGCCCATGTATGTGTTATTTCAGACTATTAACTCGTCGAGTACCATCATTATAGACACAATTATAGAACAATAGGTTGCGGTCACCGGTGACCGCTTGGTGTTTGACAGTTTAATCTACTAGAATATCCCTGTTGCAAACATCTAGATCCCTTCAGCAGTTTTGATGTGAAAGATTAGCAAACACACACACACACACACACACACACACACACACTCACACACGCCCATCCTCATAAACTTTCGTACCTATTTGTAATATTCTAGTAGGATAAGATATACAGCCGTTGAAATGACGTCATAAGAAATGTTTAAACGTGTTATTTGACTGATAATTTCAATTTCACAGTCAGTGGCTCGTTGGTCTAGGGGTATGATTTTCGCTTAGGGTGCGAGAGGTCCCGGGTTCAAATCCCGGACGAGCCCAAACCTTTTGCTCTTTTTTTCTTATATTTTGGTTATACAGTTTTGTTTTTTTTTATTTTGCATTAATTTTATTGTTTTGCAATAATATAATTAAGATAAGAACCTTTTACAAAAGACGTGTTTTTGTGATCCATATTAAAAGTTTCTGGTATTAATATTATGTTATCTAATTACCATTATTTATCATGTTATTCATATTATTCATTTATTTACAGTTACATAATACATCCAAAATTATAAAACATTAATTTATAACCTCATTTTAGAAAGCACAGCTCCGTTGTAGTAGGGAGGTAGTGGCGCCATCTAGTGTGCCTCGTTCAAAACGATATCGAGGATTGCGTTAAGATTTTCATAGATGTCGCTAGTGGAGCCGATACTGTGAGTTGCGCTCGCTCGATGGAATTATTTTACTGGAGAAAGATGTACCCTAGCTACAAATAACTGCGATGCGAAAAGCAGAAAATCGTGTTCAGTGGCGTAATAGCAGAGGATGGAAAGGAGCTGATGATGATGATGATGATAATGATGTTGAAGATGGTGGTGATGATAAATTATAACTGATTTTGGTTCCCTTAACGTTTCGTTGTTGTTGTGTTCAAGATATAACTTATTTATTTAATTTAGGATGGTAATAAAACATATAGATATACATAATTTTTGTTTGAAAGAAAACTAGTACTTATATTATGAAGAAGTGTAAGAAAATAAGCATTCATTTAATAAATTCTTTAGTAAACATAAATAAAAATAACAATGTCGTAGTAACGATAAAATTCACAATAATATGAAAATTAAATGTATGACGAAGAAAGAGATCTTTTAACAAAGAAAAATTCAGAAGCCGTGGAGGCTGACTGAATATCAAAAAAATTAAAACTAATGTGGCAGTGGAATGTGAAAACAAAGCAATAATGATCAATAACTAGTTAATAATAACAGACTTACAACTAGGTCATTTAAAACTAAGAAAAAATGCAAAACTGTGCGGTAACTTTCGTTTCGTCCATGCCATAATTCCAATAATCTCAAGAGAATGAAAATGGAAAATGATTTGATTTTCAGATGGTCGTCAAAATGTGAAATGATTAAAAATTAAACAGCTAGTATCGGAGGTTATAAATAAAATTAAATGACGAGTGAATGATGATATGACCTAAAACTGCATGCAACTTACTTAGAGACGGACAGTATTTATCTAAATCCCGATTGCTTATCTGTGATCTCTAAGCCAGCTGGCAAGCATGGGTATTGTGGAAAAATCCCTGCAAAATGGCTTTGTTCAACTAATATCCAATTGACAAAAAACTACGAGACGTACATGACAATAGAAAAAAACCTCTTAATTTGACAATAAGATGACATCAGTGGTTACCAAAAATAAGACAACATTCAAAACAGCTCAATAGACAATATTTTATAAACAAAAGGCAAGTCGATCATGAATATACAATAACCAACAGTTTTCCAAGTGAATTCCCACATAATAAGTTCGTAAACGGAGCGTAGAAAGTAAAAAAATAAACAAACCAGAAAACACTTCAATCAAATTAGTTATAACATCGGAAATATAGGAAATGTCCGTCAATTGAACGATAATACTGTTGGATATTAGATATAAGTAATTAAAAATGAAATATGGATCCGCTCATGTAATATAATGGTAGTTATAGATGAATTTTATGGAAATAATGATTAAAATATGAAATATGATAAGAATAATGCATGACATGACAATGAAGATGACCAAAATAAAGTAATGTTAATTGATGATATACAAAATGAACTTGAGAATTTTGGAAATATGACAGTTAAGATCATCATAAAAACAAATTTAGTTGCTCAAATTAACAACTATGTATGCGTAAAATAATGCAAACACTTAAACAGTAACTAATTGCTAAAGAAAAGACGGCAGGCGATTGACTCGACCTTAAATAACGTGCTAACTAAAGAGTCACTAATCAAACAATAAATTGAATCTTCGAGCAACTAAAATTGTCTGAAATAAAAATATTTTAAATGCTTGACATAAAGTAATCGTCAGCCGGACAAGGATCATTTGTATCAATAGGTTTGTACCTATAAATCTTTCCTTTAGTACCTATAACAATATTATTTTTATGATCGAAGGCTAGACCGGTGATTTTGAAACCTAATTGTCCTATTTTAACAGGTAGAATGCTTTTAGTAAATAGTCTGAACAAGGAACCTTTGACAGCTACAATAGCTTCATCGTTGTTGTTCAATTGCAGAATATATTTTAGTTCCCTAGTGAAACCTTTATATTGAATTGGTTCATACAAATCCATGGAGAAGAAATATAATCTGCCGTCAATATATTCGTAGAAAGCATTGCCTTTACTATCCAGAATGAAGCTGTATGCTTTTGGAATCTTATCGTATCGTTTCACAGCAGCTGAACCGTTCATGAAACGGAATATTTCGTGGTTTGATCCTGTTGCTATATACATCTGGTTATCTGTCTTATCTATAAAGATGCTTCGTACATCATCGTCTCCAATCGGCCTTTCTGCAGTAATTTCTGTTCTTGAATAATCATACGTGACTAGGCCTTGATTGGTGCCAATATAAATAATATTATTGGTAGTATCTATAGCCACACATTGTCCAAGTAATTCGTCAGAAACTGGCAGTTCTTTGATACCTAAGGATCCATGTTTTAGTAGATGTATTCCTTTGGTGTAGTTTCTTTTATGAAGGATGAAGAATATGTGGTCCGTTCTTGGATCTATCACCATTCCTGTTGGGTATCCATCTATTGTCGCAATAAGCTGTCGTTTGTAAAATTCGTTTCCAATTTTGATTCGTTCGCATTTTTCTGTGTTGTATCCAGCGATGAAAATGGCAAAGATTGATAGGATTTTCGTCAGGCTTCTCATTGTGAACGCAGGTTCATGACAACCGTTTGTGGTATCTGTGAAAAAAGAGAATATTGAAATATGGTATGTAGAAAATGGTATGGTAATGAATATTAATTTGTGGGCCGATGTATATATTAACTTCGGTCTAAGTATAGATGCCTGTGAAGATGATACTAGCAAATTAACAATAATACTCTTTTAACTAATACTGGATCAAAATATACAATCATTGTTATGATTACCGAAGAAGACATATTAAAAGATGACAAGATCGATGAAAACAAAGCATACAACCATAATATTTACTGAACGGATGTGAGTACATTGAATCACATAGTTATATGTATATAACAGCTACAATGTAAGCCAGGATGAATTATTGTTTTGAAAGATGATGGAATAAATGTTGATATTTGATATAAACGCTATTGTGTATCGACAATGTCATAATGACCGACTTATAAAAAAGTTCAGTGTTGCCTTAATGTTCGGAAGAATGGTATTTGTTTAATTATATTCTCATAACTATTTGACCTACTATGATTCTAATACGTAGTCAAAATATTTTGGCCCATAACTTCCTTTAGGTTAAAAAGGTTTTCGTTAACTTTAATAAGGCCTCCGATACTTATGTAAACGATATAACTGGATTGCTTGATAATTATTTACTATGTAAATTCTATTTTTTTTTGTTGTTTGTTGTTTTTTTTTATAATGCAATTGGAGTACTGCAGGATACTATTCTGAGCCCAAAAAATTAAATTGAACTACAAATATTATTTATATTTTTAATATAAAATAACTAAACTAATTAATTATTTTTTTAGAGAGAGTAGAGTTTATTTTCTACTGAGTTGACGTTTAAAACCGATAAAAGAAAGAATGAAGAGAATTATTTTGGTGATCAGATCAAGATGATTATTAATATTAATGGTGCAAACACTAATTAATGATCTAATAATTTACATGTGCCTTTAATAACCTTCAATGTTTAATTAAAGTCAAAGTCAAAATCATTTATTTCAATCAGACCTGGGTGCTTACTATTGAAACCAATCCCAATGTCAATGCAATTTCAATCCAATAAAATCTCAATAATTATTCAATGTCAAAACTATACAACCCCTATCGTAGCTGTTAAAATAGCATTCAGAGTACGAAATATAAAGCCAAACTCAATACCATTTAGTTTATTAAATATCCATGCAATACGGATGCAATGAGCGCTAGTGTTGTAATTCAAGAGTACGAAATTTCACAATACCAATGTCGATCCATCGGAATCGGATTCAAGAGTAAGCCTCCAGAAAGGCACTTTCGAACGTCAACAAAAAATTAAAAGTGAAGCTCATTCCTATAGAGAAGAACGAGCAAGAAACTCCATAGGGTAAGTACTCTTTTCCAATTAGGTTCAAAATACAATTCTTTAGTTACATAGTTTTGTGTTTGGATTGTGTTAGAAAAATATCACCAAAATTACGAGGGATTTGTGTTTGGTGAAAAGATTTTAAAATTACCGAAAATACATCTCAATGCGAACTATGAAGAATTTCAAAAAGACGGAATTAGATTAGAAAAGGAATCGAACTCAAAAGGGAATATTAATCTAGATGTAAATGGACACCCACCTGAGAAGAGTTTCCATAAGCTTTGAACCACAAGCAGATGTACTTGATAAATATAAAACAGCAGATGAAGAAAAATATAGCAAGAATTTGGAAGATATAGATGCAGAATTAACTACTCAAAGTGCTTTCCAAAGTGCAGTATAATAGAAATTGAACGAACCTGTCCGACCACCGGCACTGCCCGTTTGTTATGAAATGAATTTAGCATCATCACGCTCGAAGACTTTATAAAACATCTGCCATTGTGTCACGTATCCACGATGCTTGTAAACTTGCTGGGTGTTGATATTCACAATAAGAAATATAGGGTGCTTTAACTATTAATATTATATGAATATTGTTTAAACTGGCGTGAAACACCGCATGGGTTATATGTTACTAAAGCCACAATGGCGATTGGGCCTCTTTTATGGCATAAGCCGGTAAATGAGCAGACGGATCACCTGATGGAAAGCAATCGGCGTCGCCCATGGACACCCGGAACACCAGAGGCGTTACAAGTGCGTTACCGGCCATTTGGGGATTAGGAGTTTGAGGATCGAGGGATTGGGGAGATTGGGGAAGGGGAGGGTAATTGGGCCTCCGGTAACCTCACTCACACGACGAAACACAACGCAAGCGTTGCTTCACGTCGGTTTTCTGTGAGACCGTGGTATCACTCCGGTCGAGCCGGCCCATTCGTGCCGAAGCATGGCTCTCCCACACTTCGGTACCCTGACATTCCCAACCTACAAATCACAGTGCGTGTGTCTCTGAGTGCCGCCGGTTGCTTACCATCAAATGATGCGTATACTCGTTTGCCATTCTTTCTCAAAGGTATCAAGAAGTATTTCAGTTTCTTTAACCTTTAAACCAGTCATAGTATTTCTGAAATTCTCAGTCTTACTGACATCTGCCAACGCTGAAGTTTGTGGTTCTATCTTGGACAGTTAATAATTCGATTGGTCTAAATGTGCATCGTACTGATTGGGTAGTATTATTAGCCAATTCATGTTAAAGATCACATCTAAAACCATTTTTTTTAGAGTGTAACCGTTAACATTAATCTATTCCTACTTTTTCATAAGACTCACCTTAGAAAATCTGATCGAAATGCTAGATTATGGTCTAGCAAAAGCGTAAAATTGTAGTCAGTCAGTGTACTATGGCATAGAATATAATATACTAACTGGCAATTAGGTTATTCCCTCTTACACGGGACTCATAGCATAACTCACAAAAGATAGGTATAGGATATAGCACAATGTGCAATGTGTCGAGAAATAAAACGCCTCTTATAATTTGACCTACATTCCGAACTACAAGACATCCAAACACAAACACCCTCTATACACTAATAAGTCTTTATGTCTAATAATGATGTAATTTGTGTATCATCCAAAAGGGATCACATCATTCATTCAAAAAAATAAACCTCCTATAGTCTAGAAACTTAGGCATTAGTTGCAAGCCCTTTGTCAGTACTGGAAGGTATAGAAAAGTTTCAAAAACAAGGTACGTACTATTATTCTATAATAATTATTTTGTAGCATCGCATTTGATTAGCCTTTTACTAGAGCCTATTACTCCAAACATTATGGATATCTTATCTATAAACAACTAAAGAATTGTGATCAAATCTGAGACTTCTCGCTTAGTAGTCGTGCCAGTTTTTTAATAGGCCTTAATAACATAACTGATCGAAGTGTTGATATAGATAGTTAAAATGAAACATCATATAAATTCAACAACATTTACTTAATACAAAATTTATTTCTCATTTACAACCGCTTGCACTGTACTTATATATGACTCCACTGGCTGCGACATAGACATCATCATAGTCAAATGCCAAACCCGAAGGTACATAGTCCAGGTCCATGAACTTAGAAGGAATAACATTATCAGGCTTGACCCAATAAAGGCCATCGTTAGTAGCTAAAACAACCCTGTTATAAGAATCCACAGCAATTGCTCTAGCAGAATTCTTAGCTATTCCCACAAATTCTATCGGTTCTTGAAAACCTTTAAGAATAACTTTGACATACTTAGAATCACATTCGTAATAAATATTCTCTTGAGCATCGACTGCTAGAATGAAAGCGCAGGGAACATTCTCAACTTTCTTCTTTTCATTCTTTTTAATATCAATTACGTATACTTCATTTTCTGGGAAGAACACTGCGTATAGCTTATCATCGCTTGGTGGTTTAAAGAGTTGAACTATATCATCGTCTTTAAGACTTTGGAATTGAGCTTTATTGTTTTCATCTAGGTAATAAAGTCCATCGTCACTGGCTATATAAGTCTTCTTATTCTTTACATCTACTGCAGCTGCTTGTCCGTTTACATTATCAATTTTGATTGGCTGGCCTTTACTGAATACATACTGGTCCATTTTAGTTTGAACTCTGTCATTCTGTAGACTATCTAGATCTATTAATGTGAAGTGAAGATCATCGTTAACTGAATTAAACACTAGATTCGTTGGTAATCCTTTTATTGTTAAAACTGCTGTTCTATCGTATGGCGATCCATTGAATATATATGAGCAGTTTTCAGAGTAAACTGTTCCAATTATTGTCAGGAATAGTAGAAGCAGCATTTTGATCTGTAATGAGAAAACGTTAAGGTTTAGTTTCCAGTCGTTTGTAATGTAATTCAATTTGTTGATGGATTGATTGCGAACATGTTTATTGATTTTGAAGTAATTCACACTGTGTGTATTTACTTGTACATTTCTGATACGTAAATGTTTAGGGTCTGATGTGAAACAATGTCTTTGTAAGCGCACCTAAGAGACGGGACCAAATCCTAGTGTGGGTCAACGTTTTTTGTTAAATAGCAAAGGGAATAGTATTATTCTTTGACTGTATTCCTACATTAATTGAAACACATCGTTATTTATTTATTTGGTCTTTAATGTACATGACTTGATTAAATGATAATACCTACATAAGGCGAACTTAATGCCGTAAATTATTCTTTAAGAAAAACATTTACAATCAAAAAAGAAATTTCCAGATATCTCGTATTTGGAACGCAGTTAAAATATCAGTTAAAACTAACCTTTACAAAGTGTGAGTAACCTCTAGTTATCTGAGCTCATATGGACAGGGTCAGATGCTGTTGTTTATAGACACAAATACAATGAGATAAAATTAATATAGAACCTATATCACTATTACACTCATATGTACCTCATCATCATCACCAATAGCTCGTGAGAACCCACTGATGAACTATAGACCTTCTATAAAAGACGGGTTTGCCATTATCACACACAGTTTAAATGTTCTATGTTTATTAGACAACGCTGCTGCAGGGTCTCCGTTTAATATGTGATCCCTCACTGCTGATTCGAATAGCTGATCTCAGTCCATCATCATCAACATTCAGCAGCCCATAAGTGCACAGCTAAACGAAAACTCTTCTCAAACGGAAAAGGTTTGAGAATTAACCACCACGCTTGCTCGTTGCGGGTTGGCGATTTCAAACTTATAATTAGAAATTATAAGCCCAGGTTTCCTCACAATGTTTTCCTTTACCGTTTGTCAGTGGTGTCTAAATAATCTTAGAAGGTACGTATGACTCGGAAAGTCACAGTGGTACTTGCCGTTGGTAGGTTTTACACTGCACCCTCATGCATGAGAAGCGGGCGTCTTAAACCTTCGGCCACCACGACATATCTCAGTCCAAAACCTTTAGATTAAGATCAACTTTAGACATTATTCCTACAGAGGTTCTGTCAGAAATCAAGAATGATCCAGAGATTTTGGATTCAAATCGTCAGTTAGTCAAGTCAGACTGTACCCGTAGGAAGTTTAGGGTATAGCGACTCCTGCTTCTCAATAGTCTTGATTAGTCTCAATCTTGCCACACATACATTCATCTCATCTTCTCACATTTCACTCTATTATAGTATATTACCTCTACAATGCATGCAGATTCTTTTAGAAAAGAGGTGGTAAAGCGATATATTTGATAGCCGCGATACAGGCTATGCCTAGTGCAGTTCTCAGAACTCAAATTATAATATTTGTAACGGCTTTATGAATAAATTATTTCTTACTCTTTTTTTTTGGAACAAAATCGTTAATGAGGAATAGTTTAAGTAATCATTATTATGTCTCTGAGTGTATATTTTGGCCACAGCGTACTAGACTTCACGACTATTGCCAATCTGGCTGAAGAGGGTTATCATCAGGGATTTTACATTAACCACTATATCTCACACTATACTGCTATTAACACTATTTATCTTTTGATGATCTATTGAACTATCTAAGTATAAAACATCCAACGAGGATCATTAATCGGCGGAGAACCTTGACAGCGCGATTCAGAAAATAGACTAAAACTAACAACACCATCTAGTTTCAAAATTGGAACTAATTGTACTAGAACTAATTTAAAGTACAGTAGACGATTGAACACTGAGTATCGCAGTTATCCTTGTTTCTTTTAATCTCAATAGTGAAATAGCTATTTCCCTTTCTGCTCGACACCTATTGATAGTAGTATGATATTTCATAGCTCATACCTTTCCTCGATAAATGGACTATTCAAGACGCAAATATTTTTTTAAGTCGGACTAGTAGTTACTGAGTAAGCGAGACTATTGGTTGATCTATCTTTACAAACATTCAAGATTTTTGCTACAAGATTATGATAATGAAATGATTTAAATATTAGTAAAAATAATTTAAATTTTATTCTTTAGAGACTAGGACGATTATTCGTTTTTGAATAGATAAAGGGGTCATTGACCCGTATCCAATATTAGAACTTTATAACGGGATTGTTTAGCATTTGTATAATACAATTTGTTATACTAAAAAACGATGTTCGTTATTTTTACCGACTTCAAAAAAAGGAGGAGGTACTATGTTCGGCTGATTGTTTTTTTTTGTTCGCGCAGTACTCCGCCATTTGTGAACCGATTTCCAAAATTCTTGTTTTGTTTGAAAGGGTATACTCCCGAGATGGTCCCATTTCCATGAGGTCAGGATCTATGGCACCGACTTCTTACCTATCAGTGGGTGGGTAACGTATCAGTACTAATAATAGTTATTTTTACCCGACTGCCAAAGAAGGAGGGTAATGTTTTTCGAGTGTATGTAATTTGCTTTTTAGTATTGACTTTTTGTTTGTTATTAGTTTTTGTTCAAAGTTCTATTAAAGACACTATTTTATGGGATAGAAGAGGCAAACGAGCAGACGGATTACCTGATGGTAAGCGATCAGCATCCGCTATGGATTCCCACAACACTGGAGTAGTTACTAGATTCTCTCCGGTATTGTAACTTCAGTTGAATAGTTGCAAGTAGGCATTATAGGTAACAAAAGATATTTTGAAAATACAATGAATAACTTATTTTGAAATTCTAAGTCAACTCTGAAGTTTAGTCTAGATCTAGCCTTGGTCACTATTATAGGTACCTAAAAACCTTGCTCCCTAGTACAATGTACAGATAACAGAATATAACTAAATAACAATAACGTATCAAATGCTAAACAAGCTTAAAAAAATAAGGAAAAACACTCATTTATTATTGAAAAGATAAAAAAAAAACTTATATTCACTCACCTAATATATAAATATAATTTGAATTAAACTCACAACTGACTACTAAGAACTCACATACACAACTGTTCGTATAAACATAGATATAATAATATTATATCTACTATACATAATAATTATAATAAAACAGTACTAATAGTATGTCTGTATATATATATATATATATATATATATATTTCGAAAAAAAAGTACAAAATTAGTGTTATATAGAAATTGTAATAGAGAGTAAAAGATCTGTTTCCATATCTGTCTGTTTGCTCACGCTGATTTCCGGGACTAATGAACGGATTATAATATAGAAATCACTTTTGTTTAGCTAATACATATGTCTGGCTTAGAGGCATATGAAACCTAGAGAGCGTCCTAGAGAAGCCTATCTTAGGCGTCCCTATTTTTTTTGGTCCCTTATCACTTTGTGGTTACTTGGACACGTGGCTCTTTTTTTTAAGGGGGGAAAATCATCGAATGCCTGCTCCCGCCTGGGTGAGGCGGGAGGGAGTGACGACACGTGGCTCTTACGGCGGCAATTTCTTACCTGGCGCCCTAGACACTTACCTATTTTGCCTAATATATAGGATATATATATATTTGTAATGGAACAAAAAACTCGATATTTTACGCGGACAAGGTTGCGGGAAAAAGCTAGTATGTATAATATGTATGTATAGTTTATATCAAAACCATGTTACATGTATGTTACACTGAGTTGAATGGACTTCTATCGAAGTGGGACAGCGGGAGTTATATGAATAGTTGAAAATATTTAAAATGAGTTATAAGACTTCCGTATTTGATTATAGTAGATGTTGTACATGTTCGTATAAAGTAGGCAGTCAAGTGGAGTGGGTGTTTGATTTGGGTCGAGCATAGTAGTTAGAGAAAAAAGAGGAGGAATCATAAGACTGCCTCCTTGGCCGAGTGGTCGCAAGTGCGATTGCCGAGCAAGGGGTTTCGGGTTCGAATCCTAGGTCGAGCAAAGTTTTACTGGGTTTAAAAAAAATCTCAGTAGTAGCACGGAGTCCGGTATTATGCCCGGTATATGGCAATAGGCTTACCCTATTACATGGGATTCATAACATGAATAGTGAAAAGTGGGTGTTACATTGTACAGTGGCATTAAGTGCCGTAATGTGCACTTCTGCCTACCCCTTCGCGGATAAAAGGCTTGATGTTATGTTATGTATGAATCACAAGACAAAGGACCCCTTTGTTTTGTGATCCCTCCTCTTTTTTTTCCTTCATCTTCGATCCGTTTATAAAATATAATTTTACATAATATTCACATCACAACCAGATTCGGAACAGTAATTTATCGGATCACATAAAAAAATAATCTGTTCGGGCATCGAACCCGTGACACGTTGCAAATTAGCTGGTTGTTCGTTCACCCACTGCGACTGACGTGCTATTAAATGTCCAAGGAAATAAATTATAGGGAATAGGGTAGATGCCTAATTTTTATTTTAATGTCCGTCTGGTAGATTATTTTAAATCATTAGACACGTATTTTTTATTTTCTTACAAAAACGAATACTTTCGACGATATGTTGATTTGAAATGTCACGTGACGTCACTTCTATGTATACGTAGAAATGACGTGTTAACCCCCCACTCCTAAACTTTGATTCGTTTTATCTAAGTATTATTTTATTATACGACAAAATAAAAAAATACGTGTCTAATATTTTTTCATTACCTAACTTACGGACTAATTAGGTTTTTAATTTTCATACCCCGTCATCATCCCAATTAAAGAATGAATATATACCTATATAAATATAAAAATGGTTCTTCGCCCTTTTTCCTGCCATCATGTGGATATGAATATGATACAGTATCATATTATGTAACGTTATCTCTATATTTACATATTCGACACAATTTAATATTTCTCAGAATTCTCCAGCAAAATTAATAACATTAGGTACATAGTATCACGCCTTTTATTACGTGCATTTGGTAGGCAGGATAATAATATTTTTAATACTTAACATAACATCACGCCTTTTATCCTCGAAGGGCTACCCCTTCAAGGATAAAAGCAGAGGTGAGGCGAGCACCACTTTTCACTATTTATGTTACGAGTCCCATGTAATAGTGGGTGAGCCTATTGCCATATACCGGGCACAATTTCAGACTTCGTGCTACTGCTGGTAATACTTTGCCTGACACAGGAATCGAAACCAAGACCCCTTGCCTAGTAGTCGCACTTGCGACCACCCGGCAAAAGAGGTAGTCCTACTAAGAATTTTAAAACTGAAATTACAGTTATACTTTGTCCGACCCTGGAACCAAACCTAAATTAGTCGATTAGCAATCGCAATTGCAAATAAGTACTTAAACAACGAACTTATTACAGAAATACAATATAAAACGAAATATACCTTGTTTTATAATTAATTGTCACTTAAAAATGTAATTATAAAAACTCACTCTCACTTTAATAAAAATATGAACTCAATTCACGTTTGCACTTATAATTATAATATAAAATATAAGTAATTACTCAAATTTTATACTCAATTTATAAGAAATTGCTCAAACTCTATATTTAAATGTTATATAAAATAGTGTTAATATTAAAATATAAAATTTGCTTGTTTGTCAGTTTGTTGTGTTTTAGTAAATGTTTATTTTTCTTGTGTTTACTGCTATATATCTAGTTACGGAAGGAAGTGCCGGGTGTGTTTACATTGTATAACATATTTTGAATATTGACGAATTCCTTATTTTTGACGTGACGTACGACTGCTTATATAAAATCGTTTGGCCTTTTACTATATGGTATTCGTAAAATGACTGTGAAGGTAGTAACTACTGAATTATGGTTTTTTTTAAGGGGGGAAAATCATCGAATGACTGCTCCCGCCTAGGTGAGGCGGGAGGTAGTGTCAGACTCTTACTGACTAAAAACCACCCCGTTCCTTCTCCTGCACGTCGAGCCGGAGCCCCGGTTACCCGTTAGGTTCTCCGCGACTTGAATTATGGTATACGGATACGGATGCTATAAAAATCCGTTTGTCATCATTTTTGTAGGTTGCATGCATTCGTCAACGTACGCGTCGTGGACAATAACACACTTAAAAAAAGTTAAAACAAAAGAATATCGAGATAGTCAATATTTTTTTTGAATTTAATGGAACCATGCTATTATGCCATGGCACTCATTATCTCGTGCTCATTAATAAAATTTCACACATACAACCCATTTTTTTTTCCTGCCTCATAGCAATATGTCCAGAGACAATAAGCCATGCCTCTGTTTTGGTCTGCGACTTATTATGGGCGTAGAGAGCTCCTACGGGATGGTTAATTCTATCTGGGAGCTCTCTCTCTTTGAAGTTGATAATCTTATAGGTTAGCTCGGAATGTCTTTTCGTTTCAGTCTTACGTGGTGCAATCTGCCCTCATCATTCAAACAACCCATTTAATAACAACCTCAAAAACGAACTGTAAAAAACTCCTCACAATAAAAAATCACGTACGATCACACACAATGTACCCACACACATTTTCTTTCACGCGTCGCCAGACAATTGCGTGCTTGTATTGTATAACTTGGAACATGCGAGCCATAACGGGTGTGTTTACATGTATGCCAGGGTCGGTTAAGGTCTTTGAATACCAGAGGAAACCCTGGAGCTTGGACTATGTCTGGTATTCCGGCCAAAGTCAATTTTGGTTTGTCGGCCAATGACTTTGTTTAATGCTTTGTTGGTTACGATAGCTATGCTCGGAGTCTTTCTGAAGGATCAAATCGGAAACTAAGTAAACTGACAGAGAAAAAAAGCTATCTAGAGCCCATAACATTAGTAAGCTGATCACCATTGGGAGCTTTAGAGTGAAGACCGTGTCTAGGGATACGTAGTGTAGCGTAGTCAGCTAAGTGGAGTGATGATATCCGCAACATGGCTGGCAGTGGTGGCAGAATCGACCGAGGTGCTAAACGAAGTACTCGTCGAGGAACTCGATTAGTTTTAGGCCATGTTTGTTTTTAAGGGGCGAAAATCATCGAATTTCTTCTCTTGCCTAGGTGAGGCGGGAGGGAGTGTCAGGCTCTTAGTAATAAAAACCACACCGTTCCTACTCCTGCATTTCGAGCCGGAGCCCCGGTAACCCGTTAGGTTCTCCGCGGCTCCGTGTCGGCATCAGCCCTATTGGGCCCCATTCGTGGTTGTCTGATGGCTCTTTGAGAGGCGCGCGGAAAGCGACGCGCCGTACGCTCGGATCTGGTCGGGCCATCCATGCTCGCCGTCCGCAGGCCCGCGCTTACGGTGGCCGGAGATCGTCCCGCAATCCCCGACTTTAGGCCACGGTACGTTATGGGTCTCATAATGAAATGTCATAGTGACGTAATGTTGATGTTCTAAAGCTGGTAGAGTTTTTGGAATTAAAGATTTGATTGTGCCAACAATTTAAGAAAGAGAGCTGCTCGAGAAGGATGGCGCACTTGAACTACTTCACATATAGCCCGTGACGTACTTATGATACCCCCAACTTGTGTTGCAAATATACTTAGACTACAATTACTTGCCCGTTTGCCTACTTAGTAGCTAATATAATGTTCCATTTGCTCTTTACAGATCAACCATGCAGTCAATATATCTGACGTCAATATTTATAACACTATGTGCTACAACGACGTATGTGAAACAAACGCAAAAGAACTTGACCACGATGTTCCGAGACGAACAGATAATTTTCTCATCAAACTTCAATATCACTAAACTCTTAGTCCCTGCTGACGGCCAGAAATATCTTCAAGCAGAATCTTCAGACATACCATCAATCTTCTTTACCGTCACAGACCCAAAATCTGAAGGAGGCAGCTGTATCTATGTTCTAGAAGGCTTCGCAGCTTACGAAATCCTAGAAGGAGGCAGAGACTCCACAGCAGACTACAGTTTTGACAAGACCATATATTTCGGTGCCAAAGATGGCCTTTACAAATATCACCCAGACACTTTATCAGCAAAAAAGTTCGGCCCGTTTAGAGATGATATTATTCAACTACAGAAAGCTAATGGAACTGATACCATTTACATACTTAACAGTGAAAATAAAATTTATAAAATAGAAAAGAATGGGACAGTTAAAACGAGGATGCAAAGCATTGGTTGTGCTTTAGAATTTGTTCTAGATACTTCTAATAATATCTATTACGTCTCTTGTGGAGATAGGATGCCTCATATAATCAAAAATGATGGCAATGTCCTCAGTCTCACAGCTAGCGTTATTGAAGATTTCAAAGAAATAAAACTGCTAAGACCTGCATTCATAATGGAGAATTGCATTCCATTCTTTGGTGATGGAAACTTGTACATCCTATATTCAAATGGTACTTATGAGAAAAAAGATTTAACGATCAAAGAAAAGCCTTCAGCGTTTAGTGTGGATGCGGCTTTATATCTAGTAGCAGCTGTGAATGGAAAAATTTATGAATTTAATGTAATGGAAGTTTTAATCAGATCAATGTTTGGTGTCGCTACGGAATGGCCGAAGGATGTGACCAAGATCATCATGTCGATCATAGAAACAGCGAAAGACAGTGTATTTGGATTTTCTAAAGACGGATAGAATTTGTGCTTATTTCGTAAAACGAGTGACTAGAGACTACTAATTGACTGTTTTTATTATCGTCATAGTTCTGACAATATTTTGACATTTCTTTGTAGCAAAGTTAATGTACTTTCTGTTGTTTTTCATTGCCTTTCCAATCGGGAAGATGACTAATTTTGTGATATTAATTGACGCATAGATTTGTGAAACGTATTGGATTCGTATTTTTTTCTATGGAATGTAAATGGTTGAGTTATTGAACTGTACCTTCTTCATGGTAGTGTACAATGTGGGGCACATCCACCTGACCACCTTTAAGTTAATGTTTGCTTGCACCTGATGAGATCTGCTTTCTAGCTCCGCCCCTTGACCTTGAATTGACGAATGAACCGGACGGGGCTAAGCGCCAACGCAGGTAGCCGACCAACATCAAACTCACCACTGCCTAAAGGATTGCACGAGTTATGTTACTGAGCTGCGACGATCGTTTTTCTAATAGTTGAGACATTTATAGGTTATGCTTGATGGTTTTACTGGGGTTAAGCAATAAAATTTTAGAATGATCAAGCGGATCTGTCCCCCATTGTACATTACGACTTATATTAAACATTAGTATCATCGCTATCATCAATAGCTCCTGCCGGTCCACTGCTGCACTATGGGCCTCTTTTACATAAGAGGTTTGGTTTACCATATTTGGAGCATAGCATAGCTGGAGATCGCAGTCTTAAAGGAGCAGTGCCTTCAGCCAAATGCTACTTTAGCGCTTATCTACAGACAGAGTAGAAAACTAAATGTATGGGGATGACACTGACAAGTGCAAAAATTTAAGTCAATTCCATATAATTTAGTTTTCTATTCTACATGTAGACAAACGCTAAATGGCATTTGGCAGCTGCAGGTTTATCAGAGAGCGTTACTGCCCAATATGTATCTGTCAAATGCGATTTTCCCTTAGCAAGCAAATTAATATTATTTAAGATAAAATTGATAAAAAATATACACTTGGGACCATAGAACCGGAGGCATTGGTGTTTATTTTTTTATTAATGTTGAACCCTCTATAATAATAATAAAAAAAACATATTACTTTTACAACACAATACTCTCAGTTTAAACATGACTCAATTGCCGTTTATACGGCATACTTTACCAATTAATAAGATACTTGTGTCCAGAGAATATTTATCAAGAAGTGAAAAAGAAAAACCGATAGTGGCTCCGTTTCGTTGCCCCCCAAGAAGTGTATATTTTAATTAATAGTACTTTAGTAGTGAAAGTAGACTGCCTCGTTGGCCGAGTGGTCGCAAGTGCGACTGCCGAGCAAGAGGTCTCGGGTTCGATTTTTGGGTCAGGCAAAGTCTTACTGGTTTTTTTTAAGAAATTCTCAGTAGTAGCACGGAGTCTGGAAATGTGCCCGGTATATGGCGATAGGCTCACCCCCTATTACATGGGACTTATAACATAAATAGTTAAAAATAGGTGTAACATTGTACTGCCTACCCCTTCGGGGATAAAAGGTGTGATGTTATGTTAGTAATAAAAATATAGCCAGTGATTTTGTTCAATATCTCTGTCATTTTCATTCTTTTGGTCGGTGTTAAGGTGAGATTCGGTTTTTACGTACTTATAATTACTAATTCGATTGAACATGATGCAAAAATTATTTTTAAATAATAAAAATAATATCAATCTCGTCTATTTATACCTATAAGTGTATATTTTGTAAAAATATAAGAGTGCAATTTTTACATAGATTTATTTTTATAAGTGCTAATTGCGTAAGATTATTTTTATACCTCTAGGTGGCTTAGGAATAATTTCTGAGCATAATAAATAAAATACTCGCTGCCATTTTGTTTTCTTTTGTAGTGAATAATAGTTATTTTTAACAATTACAGTTTTGTGTTCCAGTTTATATGTTTATTTTTATTTATGGAATAGGAGCCAAAGAATTAGATGGAACACCTGATGGTAAGCGATCAGCGCCGCCCGCAACACCAGAGGAGTCACAGGTGCGTTGCCGACCTTTTGAAAAGGAATACGCTCTTTTCTTGAATGATTCGTTTCTGAAATACCGCCGACGATAGATCATTTCACAGATTTGCTGTGCAAGGCAGAAAGCTACGAGAAAAATTCACAATTGTTGCATGCCAATCATGTATATAATGATGATAGATATGCTGCCGTGAGATTCGATGGCTAAAAGTCACGGCAGGTGCATCAGACTAGACAATTCCTCAGAGCGCTCCTCGTGGTATAAGCAATAGAAAATGACATTGTTTGTTTGTTTTTTTTTTAAACATTGCCCCACACTAGGTTTTGTTCCTGTGTCGTGGGTGCGTTTACAAACATACAAGTTCACGTACACATAACATCCAAACCCGGAACAACAATTTGGGAATCGAACCCGCAACACATTGCGCGGCAGCCAGTGGCCTAGCCACCGCGCCAACAGTTGCAGTCAAGTCAACATTAGAAAGACCATTTGCATAAAAAAAATAGCATTATTAAATAATTTAGCAGACATTTTTCCTAGTAGTTTTATAAGAACAAACATCGTGCTACAACTCAAGAGATAATGGCTATGATATGAACTATGGCAAATAAAACAAAAAGTCTTATTCATAACGTTATATTTTACAACAGTAGGTTTTTCGTTATTTCTTTCATACCGTCGACGTCCTGTTAGACATTAGTTCTTCAAGATGATTGTTAACTGAACAAATTAAGCGCGCAAATCGCTCCTAGACCTCGTCGCAATGGATTGAATGGCATCAGTCTTGTCATCCAAGAACTTCTTCAATTCTTCCATCATCTCGCCGAGGATGATGGCCAAAACATTGTATTCATAGACCTTCTTGTTGTAAGCGTAGTATTGGATAAGGGTAGCCTCCATGGAGTAGGCGGTAGGCTTGACCTGGAACTCGAAGTCACCAGCCTCACTAGTACCGTTCTCATAAATAAGGTAAGATTTGTTGTCAACGATGACGGGCGCACCATTATCAAAGACGAACGCTGGGTTCAGGATCTCTACGTACGATGCGTGTTCTGGGAGACCTCCGATCTTCTTGACTTCACCGTTCACGTAAACATAGACAGACTTGTCACTGGTGTAGTAAAAGAGGTTGTTCTGGTAATCCAAGATGATCTGCTGAGCATCGACAATTGCGTCAACCTTCTCTTTTTTGTTTCCATTCTCTGTAACCTTGTACACAAAGTGGTCAGCTGACAGAACGTAGATAGCATCACTACCGTTAACTTTAGCGATGCCGATCAAGTCGTCAGATACTGAACCGTATTTATCAGCTGATTTCTTTTCAGCGTTGTAAACGTAGATGCCGTCTGAGGCTGCGAAGTAAACCAGTTTAGTGTCATCGTTGGCAGCAGCTGCATCCCTACCATTCTCTAGAATTTTCGTTGCTTCTCCACTGATGAGTGAGTAGAGACCTTTGTAAACCTTGTTTCCCTGGTCATCTTTGTCAGCTAATACTACAAAGGTTGTTGTAGCATCAGAATCGCTGCTTTCGTCATCATCATCATCCTCAAAGTTCAATGCATTCAATGGAGTCAGGATTTTGACGGGATCGTGGTCAAAAGTGTGTACGGCAAGTTCATCTGGGAAGAACTCTGGGGTGACTACCACATTTTCATCTTCCTCACTAGAGACTGGAGCGGAGTATGCTAACCCCGCGAGGAGAGAGACCGTGAAGAAGAGAATCAGCTTCATGTTTGGACCTGGAAATATAAAAGAAACGGTATTAAAAAGTATGTTAATGAAGAACTAGAACTTACAACAGTCGGTATGGCTTCTTTTACTGATTATAAAGAAACTGTAACTTTTAGCAATGGTGCATAGATTTTTTTGTCTGTAGAGTAAATCGTGTATAAGATCAAATCTTTGTACAAAAATTGGATTCTGGTAAAAATAACAAGTTGAAAATTGGTTATGATAGAACAACATCTGCATAGAAAGTTCATTAATAATAATGATTTAATTCGATGAGATTCATAAACTACTGAAAAGGGCTTTCTTGCGATTGTATTGTTGCATGACGATGATGATAAAAATGATAATAAAAAATTTGGAGGTATAAGAATTTACAAATTAGGTTTGGAGCAGGATTGGCCCTGTGGTGACCTCCCTGATATGGTAAAACGTAACGCATTACTCCTATATACGTGAAAAACTGGATAATGTATCAGAGAGATTGTAAAACATATTTTTACAAGAATAACAAATGGAGTTTCTCGCTCGTTCTTCTATGTTCGAATTTGCATTTCGCAACGACCACCTAGCCTCATTAATGGACAGACTATTATGTATTTTATAGTTGATGTTTCAAATATATCAAATTATAGTTTAATTGAAATAAATGCTTTGCAAGCGTTGTTTTACGTCGATTTTCTGCTCGGCCGTGGTATCACTCCGGTCGAGTCAGCTATTCGTGTCGAAGCATGACGCTCCCACGTGAAATGAAATATAAATGTCATAGATTATTTGTTTGTATGTTTGGATGTTTTTCTCTGTCAATCACGCTGAAACTGCTAAACGGATTATGATAAAATTTGGTATACAGGCAGGGTATGAGCTGACTTAGGTGTTTTATTTAAGGGGGGAAAATTATCGAATTACTGCTCCCGTCTTAGTGTCAGACTCTTACTGACTAAAAACCACCCCTTTCCTTCTTCTGCTAGTCGAGCCGGAGCCCCGGTAACCCGTTAGGTTTTCCGCGACTCCGAATCGGCATCGGCCCTGTTGGGCCCCATCTGTGGTGGCCTAATGGCTCTTTGAGGCGCGCGCGGAACGCGACGCGCCTTGCGTTCGGGTCTGTTTCTGGTCGGACGGGGAGCCACCCATGCTCGCCGTCCGCAAGCCCGCGCTTACGGTGGCCGGAGATCATCCCGCGATCCCCGACGCCCGGTGTGTCCTTCGCGATGGCTGGGTTGCGAGTCCCGCCTCCTCCTTAGCATAACTACTTCGCAAAAGGAAGAGACGGCATCCCAGTCCCCATCGCTCCGCATCATGACTTGCACTAGGCCCGGACGCGAGAGGTCGCCATCGCTGATCACTTCCCTGAGGGCACGGCGGTGCTCAGCCCACGCAGGGCATTCCGCTACAGTGTGTTCCACCGTGTCCTCAGGGCGGTCCTAGCAGTGATGACACCCGGGCGTTTCCGCCCGCCCCATCAGACACAGGTAAGGATACTTTTATACCGATTAAATGCTCCCATGAGATAAAACATGAGTTATGTTCTACGTGGACGAAGTCGCAGGTAACGGCTAGTTAGTAATATTTTTACATCTTAGTACTGCTTAGTTATATAACGGCTTCT